TGTAATCTGCTGGTGTTCTTCAGAAATGTCTAGAGTTCATGTGCACTGTAGTTACAGGGACCATCAGAATCTTATGCGCACTTTCCTGAGCTCTATTTCCTCTAAGTAAAGCTCTGTTACCTCTCTCAACTGATACTTATTTTCCAGGAGATAAACTATCATCTTCCACCTCTAACAATTTTTTTTTAATACCTTCTGACTTGGCTTTTAGTTGTGGGTTAATCCCAGTAGGCAGCTGAGCACCACACAGCCACTCGCTCACTTCCTCCCCTCCCCTTCGGTGGGATGGGGGAAGAGGAAAGGCAGCATAAAAGCAAGAAAACTTGTGGGTCAAGATAAAAAATGTTTCATAAGCAAAGGAGAAGTGAAAGAAGAGAGAAAGAAAACAGAAAACAAGTGATGCAAAAGCAATCACTCACCACCTCCCACAGGTAGACTGATGCCCAGCCAGTTCCTGAGCAAAAGATGTCCAACCTCCCTAAGTCCCCTCCTCTCTCTTTTTATTTGCTGAGCATGACATTATATGTCATGGAGTATATCTTTGGTTAGTTAGGTTCATCTGCCTGGTTATGTCCCCTCCCAACCTCTTGCGCCCCCCCCAAGTCTATTCACTGCGGGGGCAGAGAGAAACAGAGAAGGCCTTGATACTGTGCAAACACTGTTCAGCAATAGCTAAAACATTAGTGTGTTATCAGCTTTGTTTTAGTCACAAATCTAAAACACAGCACTGTTCGAGCTGCTATGAAGAGGGTTAACTCCATCCCAGCCAGACCCAGTACATTTTGAAACCTATTGTTTTCTGCTGTTGAATATGCTTGAATACATTGCTGGGCAAGAGACAAGTAATAAAATACTCCAGCAAGATTGGTATTTCTTCCATTTTTATTTCAGCCTCACAATTAACTTCATAAGAGCTATTCCTGATTCACGCTGCTTTTAAGTGCTAAAATAAAAAGACAAATGTTCTTACCATGTTAATAGTTGCATCATTGTAAAGAAAGTTTATATTTCAGATAGGAAATATCCTTTTAAATTGTTTTATTTAATTTTTTGGTTATGTTGACATATCTTTTTTTCTATCCTTCCAGCATAAGTACAAACAAGCATGGGAAGAAGACAAAAAGAAAGTTCACATCACACCAGATATTCCACAGATTGCTTTAGCAAAAGTTAATGCATTTAATTTAAGTGATGTGAGTACTATTTGTAAGACTAAAACATTGCTCTTCTTATTTTTTTAATTAGGAATAAGTGTGATGACAGCATACAAAAGTCTCCCTAATTCTCACTTTGCTAACCTGTAGTAATTTCACAAAAAGCTATTAATTTTCCTTTTCCCTGCTTCCTTCCCCAAAATTAAATACCAAAAGTTGCCAAAAAAAGCACCATAGTATTTATAGTCAGATTATGAAGTGTTCATGTAGGTAATTAAAATATAATAGTTACTAACAAAATAGTCGAGTTTGAGTACTATCTATGTTTGTTACTGTATTTATTGTTTTATTTCCCCATGCACGAAGTTTTTTACTGGATTCAAAATTCTTTCTTGCAGATTGAACTTATTCTTTTGGTAACAGATGATATTACAGACAATTCTTCAGTAGCCAGTTGTTAAATCTGCATATGCTAAATAAAGCATTGTTTGTGATTGTGCACATCTTTAATGTGCACAGAAATAGACATATTTATCTCCTTTTTTTAAAAGCTGACATCCTTACAGATGTAACTTTTCACCAATATTTGTGCGTGTGGGAAACATGCAATTTCTTCCACTTTTGTCATAGGTTATTGTTACTAATGATAGTGCAGTCCAGCTGCATTGACGTATCAATACTAGGATTGGAGTTAATTTTGAAGGAGTATGCATCTCTCTGTGTGCCTGAGTGCCCTAAACAACTGTGCAAGGGGTGTTAAACATATGAATAGTCTGTGTTTCAAGTTATCGTACAAAATGAATAGAGTTTTATTTAAGTAAGTGTGGTGTGTTTTGCTTTTTTAAAGGATTTTTCTTTTATTTTCACAGAAAATGTACAGACTTTCATTTGAAGAATCTAGGAAGAAAGGGTATGATCTCAGAGCTGATGCTATCCCTATTAAAGCTGCCAAAGCTTCTAGGGATATTGCTAGTGATGTAAGTTCCTGAAACAAAAAATTATTCATTTCAGATATTGTAAAACATTCATTTCTTGACACAATTCAATTTTATATGCCTATTATATGAAGTCTTTTTATTGTCTTGCTTGTAAATAATTCTGACAGATTGTATATATATTCTAATACATTTTCTAACAGGGTTAAAGAACAATTTCTGTATTAGAAAGGTAAGGAGATATATGAGGGACTCAGAAAAAAAAAATAAGGGAGTTCATTCCTCAGTGTGATGGTGCTTGAATACTTTATAAAAGTATGTTGTATCTTTGTAGTTTAGACAGAACGTTCAGGGATCGTTCTTAGAAATATTTGAAAAGAACAGATACGGACTTAAATTATTTTCACTGCTGTGGTACAGTTATCTTTATTCCTTTGGTGAAAGTCCCAGTAAATTTCTTGGTGCAGAGAATACAAGCTTCTGGGATCAGGACCATTCTGAAATCCTTTGTGTATCAGAGAATTGCTATGGCAGGGGCAAATCCAGCCTGAGAGAGTGGTGAAGTTAGGGCTAAGGACATGTTATTTAGCCCACCATTATTTTTTTTTTACAATATAGGGGATGTTGCAGCCACTGCAAAGTCAATTTGCTCTGTCACTGCTCTAAGTCTGAGGGGAAGATACATCCATTCTGAGTTATCTCGAAGCAGTAAGCAGTGAAGGAAAAAGGAATTGATATCTGGTCTGTGTAGTTCATTGTCCAGGGTTGATTAGAGATTGAGGAAGGAGTTAAGAATTTGAACCATTGGTTTTATTGAACAAACAAATGCAAAAGGTCTTGGGAAGTGTCTTGAATTTTTTAATCATTTGAATAAGTTAACCTAATGGAAGTAATGATGAGATCTTTGATTTTATGGTTAGTCTTTAGATATGAACTCAAGTATTCTGAGTATGGTGCAGACTACCATGAAAATAGTTACCTAAGCCAAATATTGGACGCAGGATAGCAATAATAACAGAGAACTGTGTGGGTTAATGTACCCTGGTTCTAGTGTTTATGATACCCATATTAGCTCTAAGATGAGCTATCTCTAAACTACAGTGTGAAAAGAATAAAAAGTGCACTTTTTCCAAAGAACTGTCTTCAGCAAACTAGATCTTATGTGTTCCTTTGCCTTTTGCTTTCTGTCAGTATGTGTCATATTTTCATTGTGTCATTTATAATGAGATTAGACAGCAATTGAACCCTGGGTTACATTGAACCTTATGCAGGAGCAGAATAAACTATTGTAAGGGAATTTCATTTACTAAGAGAATATTTTAAATATACTGCTTTTAAAAGGGATGCTAGGCATCTGTTTTGCTTTAGAGTACACCCCAAGAGTTGGTGGACAAAGCTACCACCTCTATATGCTTTGCAATGTAAAAATCTTATTTTAATCTAAGTTTTGGGGTTTTTTTCCTTACAAGATAGATATTGCTTATTAAACACATGAAGTAGAATTAAAGTCTCTGTCTCTGTTCTCTTTACAGTACAAATACAAATTAGGTTATGAACAAGACAAGGGAAAACTTGTAGGCTTCCGCAGCCTTCAGGATGATCCCAAACTTGTCCATTATATGCAAGTGGCTAAGATGCAGTCTGATCGTGAATACAAGAAAGCTTATGAGATGAGCAAGACACATTACCAAACGCCTTCTGATACACTCAGCATTGTGGCAGCTAAGGAGGCACAAGATCGTGTAACCAATACTAACTACAAACGACTGATTCACAACTATATGCTTCTGCCAGATGCAATGAGTTTAGAACTGTACAGAAACATGAATCAGATACAAAGTGATGTAAGTTTCTGTTTTCTTTCTGTCATTCACAGCTGTGACTTTTTTTTCCCTGTTTTTTCATTATGGCTGTGTTTTGGAAACAACAGAATTATTTTGTATGAGCCATTTATAGATTGTGAACTTTCCTTTTGTGTTCTGTTTGGCAGAATGAGTACAAGCAGGATTACAATGAGTGGTTCAAGGGTGTCGGTTGGAGTCCTGCTGGTTCTCTGGATGTGGAGAAATCTAGGAAAGCCACAGAAATTGCAAGTGATCAGAAATACCGCCAGCATCCCAGCATGTTCCCCTTTACAAAACAGAATGATGCCATGGACATGGTCCTTGCAAAGCAGAATGCAAATATAATGAACAAAGTGAGTATTTATGGGGAAAATTAGGCAGACATTCACATATAATCCATTTCAAGAAACAGTCTGTAAGTCTCTGTCACCACCTTTATGTAGCAGTGTTTCCCTGGGAAAAACAACTGTCACTTACAGGTTCCTCTTTTTTCATTTTTTTTTCTTAATGAAATACTCAGTTACTGATAAAAAGCATTGGTTAAATAAATCTTTTCTCATTTTTCTCATTGCTACCTCTCCAACCTCTATTCTTCTCATTCTTGTATAGAAATTACTGGCCCTGAAAATCTTGATAGTTGGGCTTCATTAGAAGCAAGACTGGATCCTAATTCAGCTGATTCTGGATTAGGTCATTACGTAGTAAAATAAATCTAAGTCAGCACCTTAATCTTTTTACCCATCCATATCCAAAGTGTGCCAATGGAAGGGTGAAAGCCATCCTTTGTCATTTAAATTAACACATCTGATGTTACTTTTTCAATAGCATGCTTATACTCAAGCTTGGGAGAAGGATAAAATTCAAGTTCATGTGATGCCAGATACACCAGATATTCTACAAGCAAAACAGAACAAGGCGAACTACAGTCAGGTAGAGTTTTTTAATACTTCCTATTACATTTTAAATTAATATCTACTTTCTTCAAATTTAAAGGTGCCTCCCATTTCAAAAGAAGTAATTAATTTGTATAAATTAGAAGAAACGGAATGGGGGATTTAGAACAGAGGCAAGAATTTTTGTGTGAGTAATATTTCCAGAGTAGCAATAAGTACCTTCTTCAGGCTAGCAAAGCAACAGCCTAAATTACATTATAATATATGGAAAATATAAGTCCTGTTTTTGAAATCTAGATATGCATAGTCCATACGCTATGCTTACCATAGAAATCAATCATGTTAAAAATTCTTTACTATAAAATTACAAGTTAATTGTATATATTTTTAACTTAGCATATGGGAAGAGAAATACATGCAGTGATTCTAACTTTTCTATCAGCTTTCAAATATGAGAAAGTGACAATTGTGCCAGTATAAAATACTAGGTTTTGCTTTGCATGATTGCTCAGAGGCAAATCTTTGACTTGCAAGTGCTGGTACGTAAAATCAACTGTGCACAAACTGAATTGACTATTAAATGGCTACATTACAGCCTTATTAATTAAAATTTTGTTAAGCCAATTGAAAAGTTTTCAGTTATCCCAGATGTATATATTTCAAATTCCCCAGATATGTTTCAAATCCCCAAGACAAGCTATAGTAGGAAGCTGCTGCAGTAAAGAAAAACTATTTAATCACTGGCCTAAGACTTGGAAGACGTGTGTTCCTTGCTTATCAGTTCCCCATTTCTCAGTTCCCATTTTAGTAGCCCTTCTCTCGTAACTGAAGCCTGTGAGGTGACCAGAATTTGGAAATATGGATCATTAGCATATCTAAATAGAAGGTGACATACGTGTTACTAAGACTTTTTAATTAATATTGCTTTCAATTTTAGAAACTGTACAAGCTTGGCTGGGAGGAAATGATAAAGAAAGGCTATGACCTCACACCTGAAGCCATTTCAGTCAAAGCTGCTAAAGCTTCAAGGGACATTGCAAGTGACGTAAGCAACGTTTCTAGTTCAATATGACATGCGCTTTATCTAGATGCTATAACCTACAGAGTCGCACTAGATCCAGATACACCTCTCTGCTAAGGTGTGGCTTGGAGTAAAAAGCAAAATTGCTGACAAAACTCTTTCCTGATCTGTTCTTGTCAGTGAAGAAAACAATTTAAGAAGGGTTGCTCTGGCATCTTGACAATTCCAAAGATTGTGGTCCATCCATGAAGTGGCTAGTCATACAAAGTTAGGATTTGTCTGCTCTTTTGGATGTTACGTTTTCAGAGCAGCAGCAAATTTGGTCCAATTAGCTGATCCCAGTGCCTGTACTGAGAAATCCTCTTTACAACTCTGAAATAGACGTGGTGACACGTGTATTGCTGTTATCATCACTTGGTATGAATACAACTCCTGCATTTATGGAAGAGATTTTATTAATCATTAGGAAATGTTTCCAATGCTTAAGCATCTGCATTTTTCATTGCTATTTATTTTATTCATCAAAATATTTCGTTATGTCATCCTTTGGGAGTTTTGAACAGTATGACTATATGAATCAGATGGCACAGGAGACCATTCTTATAGCCACGCAGTCTTTCTCCCCAGGGACTCTGTTCATTCCCAGGGAGAGCATTCACTGTCACCAAGTGATGCACATTAACCAAGGGGCTACTAAACCTTTACATGAGGTGCCATAACAAGTTGCTTATTTCTTGCAGGACAATTGGTAATGAGAAATATTGAACTGAGTGGCTATATTGATATTTTGCTTATATATTTTACCATTTTCTGTTTCTTCCTGTAATTTCAATAATGCAACCTTTGTAATTTTAGTACAAGTACAAAGAAGGTTACCGCAAGCAGCAGGGACATCACATTGGATTCCGCAGCTTACAGGATGATCCTAAGATGATGTGGTCTATGCAAGTAGCTAAGATGCAGAGCGAGAGGGAGTACAAGAAAGATTTTGAAAAGTGGAAGACAAAGTTTAATATGCCCGTGGATATGTTAGGCTTCCTTCTGGCTAAGAAATGTCAGGAACTGGTTAGTGATATAGACTACAAACACATGCTACACCGCTGGACTTGTCTGCCAGACCAGAATGATGTCACCCAGGCAAAGAGGGTCTACGAACTACAGAGTGATGTAAGCTTCCTCTGGATTTACCTAATTTATTTTTTTGTTACATATTTACTGCTTATTGAAAAGTATCTTTAATAACTCTCTTTTGATGTCAGTATAGAACAGACTGAAGCTGAAATACCAGCTAGTCTTTTAATACGGTTTAATAAATGAACAGGGAAATAATCTGCTATGGTTTTGAATTTTTTCCTTGACAGAATCTGTATAAGTCAGATCTACAATGGCTCAGAGGCCTTGGATGGAGTCCTTTGGGATCTTTGGAATCTGAAAAGAACAAGAAAGCTTCTGAAATACTGAGTGAAAAGAAGTACCGGCAGCACCCAGACACTATTAAGTTCACAAGTATCCCAGATGCCATGGATATAATTTTAGCAAAATCTAACGCCAAAAATAGAAGTGATGTAAGTTGCCTCTAGAGACTGAACATGTGATTCAATAAATGAATACGTTAGTATACATTCATTAAAAAGATCTCCATATCAGAACATGTGCTTAAAATATACAAATATCAGATGTTTGCAATCAGTGCCTTACTGCTCAGTTGTCAAGAAGTACTAGGCCTTGTTCAAAAGATTAAAGTCTTTAGTGCTGTATAACTTATTCAGTAATAACTGCAAATAAGGCCCTTTACTATGTAGTAGGTAAATGTATTGTCGTAATGCTGTTTTCTTGACATTTCATGGAAGTAAAGAAAAAAAAAGGTGGTATTTCAGTAAGAATTTGTTGTATTATTTTATTTTAATATCTTGCGTTGTTTACATCGCTCATGCTTGCATAGTACATCTTTGCTTTGCTATTATAGAGAAAAGGTAAAGTGAATTTACTGCTATGCATGTGAGCCTTTTATCAGACAAGGTATTTTTGTTTGTGTCTCTTTTCAGATACTGTATAGAGAAGCTTGGGACAAGGACAAGACTCAGGTTCACATCATGCCTGATACTCCTGAAATTTTGCTGGCTAAATCAAACTTAATTAACACAAGCGATGTAAGTGTGTCTCTACAATGTTTCTTTCATAGAATTTGGAATTACCCATTGTGGCTTTAGTTTAAAATGCAGTAGAGTAATTCTGCAATTCAAACAGCTGTAAGCACACCTGTGATCTTTTCATGTGAAAACTGTCATGTACTGGGAAGCCTGAGTGGAATTGCTAAAATATAAAGTGGAAGCAGAGTTGCTAGAATATAAAAAATACCAAGAAAATATTCACCACAGGTTAGCAGTTTTCTCTTTCATCCTACTGATCTTATTAATATTGTAGATATGTGTTCAGTACTTTTTAGTAAGCCTGTCGTTCTTCTTAAAATGCCTGATTATATTGAATTGCCTCTTTAGAATTACGTAGGATTATGTAATTTACATCAAATTCCTGCCTATAATGGAACAAATATAGACTACATGCAAAGGTAAAGAAATGTTAGCAGCTCTATCATAAGAACCCAAGAAAACAAAAATAATTGCAATTGAAATTGGGTGTAGAGAATCATGGGGTTTTATTATTCACCTATGTAGAAGACTCTATGAATCATTCAGATTAATATGTTAAGTAAAAGAAAATTTTGATCTTGAATGAGTTAATCAGAAAACATAGAGATAGTAATTTTTAAACATTTTTTATCATCAGTTACAAAATACACATTACTAAAAGCAAGCCATGGAATTTAATTCTATGAATGAAACTGTGTTTGAAATATCATACTCTCTAGAGAGCTTTATTTGCAATAATTACTTTGAATCCTTCTCCAACAGAAACATTACAAATTAGGATATGAAGAGCTGAAGAGGAAAGGTTATGATCTTCCTCCCGATGCTATACCCCTCAAGTCAGCAAAGGCATCCAGAGACATAGCTAGTGAAGTAAGTCTTACAGAGTGAAAATAATAGTGGGGCATAGAGCTGGCGCACACTTTTGGATAAAGATGTTTTTTAAAAGGAGCAGATGTCTAAAATTTTAAGTCTTATATTGCTACCCACCCCCCGAGGTTGTGTAATTCTTAATGGTGTAAAGTTAATTAAATTAAATACAAAAATTTACAATGAGATAGTATATAACTATTAAAAAAATCAGTTAATATCTTCTGGACATGCAATAAAAACACCAAAAATGTTGGAAAAATACACACAAAAAAATTAAATATATTTCATACGTAAGTGTTAACCACTATATTACCAACAGAGAAATTTAAATTGTAGCTTGAAAAGAGGTGACAATTGTTGTTTCTGCATTCAATTAGTACCAATACAAAACTGCGTACCGAAAGCAGCTTGGCCACCACATAGGGGCCCGTAACATAGAGGATGATCCGAAGATGGTGTGGTCGATGCACGTGGCCAAGATCCAGAGTGACAGGGAGTACAAGAAAGCCTTTGAGAAGTCAAAGACACACTTCAGTAGCCCAGTGGACATGCTGGGAATCGTGTTGGCCAAGAAATGTCAGGAGCTGGTCAGCGACATTGATTACAAGCACCCTCTGCATCGGTGGACCTGTCTGCCGGACCAGAACGATGTTGTACAAGCCAGGAAAGTGTACGACCTCCAGAGTGATGTAAGTTATTCTTTACTGGCAGTGTGGAAACC